TTATAGAGATATGCGAGACAACTTATAATTTCATATAAATTCAATTGATAAAGTTACAAAGTCCAACTAACAATATATGCTTCTATATTGTTTTAATGTTCATGATGAAAAATGTTGTTTTAATGTTGAAAAACCCTTTAATAGGGTTTAGAATTGGATTTCAGAGCGTATCTTTTTGTAGCATGATGTTCCCAATTTTTCGAATGGTTGTGAGTCAAGGTAGTCAGAGAGAGCACCTCATTTACTCAGTAACTTGGTTATCAAATCCAAGGTGTGGGTCAAGGTGTTAAGTATTGCTTCAAATGGCCAAATCACATATTTTAAAAAAATATGGCCAAGTCGATTTTCAAATAGCCAAATCGATTTTAAAAATGGCCAAATCTCCTTTACTCAGTAACCTTTTGAGTTAGGTTTTAACATGATTTTTTTATATATAAGATGGCAACTTTAAAATGTAAAATTAAGATGCATATTAATAATAATAATAATAAAAGGTTAATTTTTTGTCCATTTTGGCATGTGGAAACATGAGAGATGAGTAAACACTTTTTAGTTTCTACTTCTTTTCTTCATAGAGGCTAATAAACAAATTTAAGGAGTATGAAGTTGTAAAAAATGATAGATAGCTTGTAACAAATAAAAAACAAATTAGGATAACAACTAAACAAGAAGTTGAGAACTAAGACAACAGAAACATGCACAAAAAATAACCTTAAAAGGAAATAAATTTTTTTCTCATATTCATCACAAAAAAAATAGTTTTATAAAAAGCATATATAACATTAAAACCAATCCAACAAGTTCACCAAAAATATATAACATTAAAAAGGAGGAAATATTTTTTTCTCATATTCATAAAAAAAAGACATATTTTGTAAAAAACATAAATAGCATAAAAAACGATCCAAAATGCTCACCAAAAATATATAAAATTAAAAAAAGAAAATAATATATTCTTTTTTTCTCATGTTCATCACAAATAACATATTTTTATAAAAACAAAACGTAATTTTATTGAAAAACAAATTTTTTTTAAGAACCCTAAAATCGAGCCCAAAAATACAGAAACTTTAGAGTCAAAATCAACCCCAAATCTTTTATTTTTTGAACAAATTGACATGGGGATATGTTAGATACTTTAATGAAGATTCAAATGCCCCAAATTTCATAAAGATTCATTCACTATTGAGATCTTTATTCAAAAAATTGCGGATTTTTCACTTCAAGAAAATTTCAAGAAAAAAAAGCAGCAAAAAAAAATTGATATAAAAACATTTAATCAATATTAAATCAAAATAATTAGTGTATTTGATACATGAGGCCTTTATGATCAAACTTCAGCGATTAATTCGACAAAAATCGATCAATTTATCGATAAAAATCAATCAATTGATCGATAAAAATCAATCAATTGATCGATCCAAAATCAATTTGTTTCGATAAAAAACAATTCTTCGAGCAGCAGTACTTCGGGCCCAAAAAAACCTCAAATCTTCATCGTTTTGGAAAATTTGAACTATGTGAACATTGAATCCTTCAACAATGAATCAAAGCCTTCCATTTTTATGAAAATCTATGAGATATTGAAGCTGCATTTGATAGAATGGCGGAAATTTCTAATTTTCAAAAATCCCCATTTCAATCAGCCAAGAACTCTTTGTTTTTGGAATTTTGATTCAATAATCGACGATTTATAGAAACTTTTCGGTGTATAACATCAATAGTTGACCGAAAAAGACAAAAAATCTACAAAAAAAAAAGCTGCAAAATCTTGTTCTGTGAAATATCACGGGCATGTATCAAATAACGGCCGTTATTTGTTGCGTTGAAAACCCCGTTACATCCCGCGTTAAAACGGTAAACTGGACCGGCTAGGAAAAACCGGCCTGTTCATATTAAAAACTGCCGGTTCGACCTCAAACCTGCTGGTTTATACTAAAAATTGCCGATTCGACCTCAAACCGGTCGGTTTATACTAAAACCTGCCGCTTCGACCTCAAAACGGCCGGTTTTGGTGCCGATTTTTTTTTTGAGAGTGCCTTCTTATGAGGTGTGCCGTAAAACCAGCCGTAACCGAATTCGCCACCCCATCTATAGCGATCTAAACGGCCGGTTCCGGTTCTAACCAGCCGGTTTTACGAACGCTACACAAACTATATATATAGCGTGCATTAGACTTCAATTGTACCTAAAGATGAAATGGGGAGAAAAGCACGTATACTATGTTCCGGCACATGCATATTGCACACTTACTCCCTTAGGTAGAAGACTAACTTGGGAAGAATTTTTTGGTACGAAATTATGAGAACCTCCTAAAATCAGCATATAATTATATTCATAAGAAAAATTAGGATTTTAAGTTTTTTAATACTTAGATGCCACTCTTCAAATTTTGGATAATTTTTATTCAATGAAGCATTAATCATCCAAGCCCATAAAGATTGTAATTTGGAAAAAGTTTCACAAGGTTACATCCCCAAAAATTGGGGTCCTAAAACACTCTAAGATTGAGTTTTGTTTGAGGGAGGAAATGGATAGTATGGTCCCACAAGTGCATGAGATCGTTTGGATGCGGAAAAACTCCTTTCGGCTTAGAAATACAGACTTAACGATAAATATGAAATGTCCTCGGTTCATGCAGTGTGCATAGCATAGATTTAGTATAATTGTACATTATCATTCGGGTCTCGTGTATAGTATAATATGTTACTTGGCAATTTATCCAAAGGGTTTGGTTTATACGGGAAAATATCGAATGAGACAACCTTTGATACAAGGTGGTCACATTAATCTCGACCATTGAATGTGAAATTAGGTGGACAGCAATTCTTCTATTAACCAAGCTCAAAATGGAATTGTCTCACTGTAAACATTTATAAAAAGTGATCTCATTAGATATTTATAAAAGCTCAAACTTCAAAGATAAATAGTCCCACTGCATACAACTCCGGTTTATAAAAGGCTGCAGCATTAAACAAACAAGGTAAAAGGTAGATAGTGTCAAATGTTTTTTAGAATAACCGTCGGACAGTCTACTTTTATCTTTAATTAAAAACTTTAAAATTTCAAAAATGATTTAAATCAATAAGAAAATATTGAAAATATACGCGTTGAGTAAGTGAGGGAAGGAGGTGGTGGATGCTTTTTCATACACCCACACACAGAGAAAGAGAAAGAGAAAGAGAGAGGGGGACCATCAAAGGACTCAGATTGAGAGGGATGAGGGTTTTTGATGAAAAAGAAGAACATCAGGAGCAAGCCATCATCCAGAAAGCACAAGCTAGGGCATCGCGTGCCACGGCCAAACCAGTGTTGTAATTACTCATTGACTCTCCATCATCAATTTTTCTGTAAAGACGAAATGCAGTAAAAGCGAGCTTCTCCTCTGAATCCTTGACTTCCTCTTCTTCTTTGAGCTTCTCCTCTGAATCCTTTACCTGCTCTTCTTCTTTGAGCTTCTCCTCTGAATCCTTTACCTCCTCTTCTTCTTTGCTCTCGTGGTTAATAGAGATGTGCCGCTCTTGCTTGTGTAGACCTGCAATCTTGCTGGTTTCTGGGCTGAGGTCTGGGGTTTCTGGTAAGAAGCTAGCTAGAGTGTTATTTTCAGGGATATGATCTTTAATGGCGACCTCCTCTGGTTGGAATTTTCCCGCATCTTTCACAGGAGAAGGCTGAGAAATGTCAAGGTTTAAAAATTAAATAGTGAAAGTTGAAACTGATATCTTGAGAAACTCAACAATGAAACAGACTCTCTCTCTCTCTCTCTCTCTCTCTCTCTCTCTCTC